ATATGAAACATTAATTATTGTTAAGATCATGGCAATCATTCAAGATTTAAAAAAATTAATTGTAGAAAATTAATTGTGGAACCTATCAAAAATATTGTGGAACCTTAGATTAAAAAAAAATTGTAGAAACCGAAAATGAAATTTTCAACTAAGCTAACCGGGCTATAAAATTGAATTAAAGTCATTGGTTGTCTTCCATTAAAAAAAAAAAAAGTCATTGGTTGTCTAATTTAATTTGAAGAATAATAATTGGTTTATTTCTTAAATCTGAAGATTTTTATTTTACTAAACCACTAAAAAACGATTACCATTAAATTTTTTAAGTTGTTGATCATTTTTTTCATTTTTTTCTTGATCCATGAGTTTATGCGCGGGAAAACCTTGACTTAGAACTTTGTTAGGAAAATTATTGGATGGAATAACAACTAGTTAGCATTTGCACTTTCTTATTTGTTATGGTCCTTATGTATTGGGAGGACCTTGACTTACAACTTGTTAAGAAAATTATTGGATATAATAAAACTTGTTAACATTTGCACCTTCGTGATAGTTGTGGATGGGGAAGACTTTGAATTACAACTTTGTTAGGAAAATTATTAGATGGAATAACGTGTTAGCATTTGCAATTCGTATTTGTTCTGAATGGGAAGACCTTGACTTACAACTTGTTAGGAAAATTATTGGGTGAAATAACAACTTTGTTAGAATTTGCACTTTCATTATAGTTATGGACAGGGAAGACCTTGACTAATACAACTTGCTAGGAAAATGATCGGATGGAAGAACAACTTCTAGGTGGGAATGGAATTAGGTTTTTTATGCTTTTAATTAGCATATGTGTAGTGGGAAGACCTTGACTAATACAACTTGCTAGGAAAATGATCGGATGGAAGAACAACTTCTAGGTGGGAATGGAATTAGTTTTTTTTTTATGCTTTTAATTAGCATACGTGTAGTGGGAAGACCTTGACTAATACAACTTGCTAGGAAAATGATCGGATGGAAGAACAACTTCTAGGTGGGAATGGAATTAGTTTTATTTTTTTTATGCTTTTAATTAGCATATTTGTAGTTTTGAAAGAAGTGAAGGGGAAATGACAGGGAGTGAATTTTTTGTTTTATTACTCCCTATTCTAAAATAATAAATATTTTTTTATTTTATCTTCAAATTAAGTAGTTAGAAACAATTTATATTTTTACATTTACTGACATTAAAAAAGATAAAAATAAAGATATACATTTTTATAATAAGATATACGATTAAAATTAAAGGATAATGTAAGATTAAAGTGGAAAAAAATTTATCTTCTCTAAAATATGAAAAAACGAACTATTACTCTAAAATAAATTCAAATAAAAAAAATCTATTTTTTTGGGATTGATAGAATAATAAGTATCTTTCTATTAGTTTAGCTAAGTTTTATACTCTTTAATTTAAAAAATCTTAATTTAAAATAGTCAAGACTTCAAAATTTTACTATACCAAGCAACAAACCACAATATATATATAGAGGATTGCGCATATTAATTCTGATTTTAAAAAAAAAATTAGAATCTTAACATTAAATAACGTTATTTCATTTAATTAAAATCTAATTTAAATTTCAGAAATTCACTTTATTAAATTTTGATATATGAATTCGGAAATGGATTATATATTCTAATATAAGTTGTTTCTAAATACAAGTATTAACATTATATATGATGAAATTCTAAATTTTGAATTGGATTTTAATTAAAAGAAACAATGTCATTTAAGGTTAGGACTTCCTTTTTTTTATAGAAGTCAAGATTGATGTGCATTTTTTCCATATATATGGGCCTTAATTAATAAAATAAAAATAGCTAATCAATTAAATAATATTGAGTTTACTTTTTAATATTTTAAATAAAATAACTTATGCCACATTAATAATAAGAAAATAATTTATATCATGTTATTGATCCCAAATTTTCATCTCATATAATTTGTCTTTTTTATCATTATTCCTACTC